AATATAAAAAAGTCGCAAGAATAGTAGTCAGTCACCTACCTACAATTAAATTACTCTCAGGGCCCTAGCTTACCTGTAATGATAACTCAACTCATTTATTTTACATATTTTAACGTTTTAATTTTACTTGAAGCTTTTAATTTATGTTAATGTTAATATTTTACTTGAAACTTTTTAACTAATGTTAAGCCCTAGCCTACCTACAGTTGTTCAACTCATCTCAATCCCTAACTTACCTATGAATTAAATTAAGTCCGGTAAAGAAAATAGAAAGTTGAAGAGAAACATAACAACAACGACACCGAATGAATGGATGTTGTGTATGTGTGTTTTGTATTTATGTGTGTGCGTGTATGTAAATGTGCGCGCGCGTACCCTCCAGAAACTTCTTCACCCACTACGGACGAACCTCCATTGCACCGACCATCATCTGACACGCACCGAGGAAATGAATTTTGCCGGATACTGAAAAACAAAATTGAAAGAAAAAGTTAATTTTTTTAAATAAAAAACAAGCCATTGAAAAAAAGTAAGAAGCAACTTATCTTACCATGAGATTACCATCATGAAACGTGCTGACTCCCACCACAACCCATCTCTGATCATTCTGTAGACAAATTTTTTTTATTGGCTTAGTAGTAAATGAATGTTAAAACGAAAGAAAAAACGAATAAATGATTGAGCGAATGATTGAGTGATTGAATGAATTAATTAACCAATCTATGATTCAATGAATGAATAGAATGAGTCAATTAATGGATGAATGAAAGATTGTGTGACAAAATGAATGAATGAAAAAAATAAAAACAACGAAACTAAACCATACTTCAAAAATCGTCGTTGTTTTCTTCGAGTTGTTATCGGAACGATCATCATGAGACCACCATCTGAAACGTGTTGACGCCCACCACTGCCCACCTCTCATCAGTCTGTAGACAAGTTATTTTTATTAGCTTAGTAGTAAATGAATGTTAGAATCTTAGAAGCAAAAAATTATAAAATGGAAATAATGGCAAATAAATAATATTTGAAAATAATAAAGAGAGTAAAATGTAAAAAAACTTACCGTCGTCCATTCGACAAAGGCAAAATGATGAGTGCCTTCCGTTTCCTGCGTTGTCCTCCAAAACTGGCGCCAGTCCTCTTCGAGATTGTTGTTGAAACACAGCCCGTGGAATGGAGAAAGAGAAAATTCTCATTAGAAAGCTTAGCGGTGCCTGCATCTTAAATTGCTTAATAAAAATAATCCTATCTACCTATTCAATTACCTTAACTAATCTATAATAAATTGTTAATGGTACGATAGTCGAAAGTTCCCCTTCATTCTCCCTCCTTGCACAGATGTTCACCGACAGCCAGGGCACCGGATAGTAAACCATTGCCGTGCGGATAGTAGACTACTGCCTTGCGGATAGTAAACCATTTGCCGTCCGGAAGCCGTGCGGGTAGTAGACTATGGCCATGCCGCATAGTAAATAATTACCGTGCAGATAGTAAACCATTGCCGTCCGGATAGTAAACCATTGCCGGTTCACCACTGGCCGCCAAGGCTTACCTCTGACAAGAGACTTCGAAATTCAGAGTCTATCGGCTATCGTACCCTCAACTTACCTATTCATTACAATTAAGCCCTAGCTTACCTAAAATTACAAAACTCAAGAGCCCAATTCATTGGCCTTTCGGCACCCACCCCACCACCTACGTAATGCCTTGGGCTCCAACTTAGTAATAATAATAACTTAAACCCTAAATCTATTAATGAGTATGTGTTACAACGTAGCCTTAACCTACCTATTCATTACATTACGGTCCTAGCTTACCTAAAATTACAAAACTCAAGAGCCCAATTCATTGGCCTTTCGGCACCCACCCCACCACCTACGTAATGCCTTGGGCTCCAACTTAACAATGATAATATAAAACTTAACAATTAACCTACCTATCTATACACTTACAGCGTTTTAATTTACATTACAACATTTTTCCAAGAATTACATTATTGCTCTTAATTACCTATGAAATTAAATTACTCTCAACCTTAGTAATAATAAATTAGAATGTGTAATGAAAATAAAATTACGCTCAAATACTAACATACGTGTTTATGTATGTATTTGTGTGTGTGTGTAATACGCTGGTGCGTGTAATGTGGGTGCAAGATAAAATAGAAGAGATAAACTTACGCTGCCTACCTATTCAACTACATTAGTGTTGGATGCTCCCTATCTATCCTACCTTCAATTAAAATTAGGCCTATCTAACCTACCTATATAGCTACTTAATGTAATTGTGTATGCGTGTGTGTGCGTGTGAGCATTCCTACTTAATGTTAAATTACAGAAAAAAAGAAGAAAACGTATCCCAGTCAGGCAGGTATTCTTTGCCACTGAATGAACGAACGTAGCCTGACATCTTCCATGATGAACTCCTCTGGAAGCTTCAACCTGAATGAAATGAAAAAATCCTATTTAATTAATTAAGTTAAATGAAAATAGAGAAACGAGCCGCAGTGAAATCCACCAGCCGGAAAAGCCAGCAAACTGGCAAAAAAAGAAACCGTTAAGAAACCGTAAAGTCGGAAGTTAGGGTTAAGGTTGAACGTAAGGTGACATCACAACCATTCCGATCCTCCACGACGAACTCCTCTGGAAGCTATAACCTGGATGAATGAACCTGAATAAACCTAGATGAATGGACAAATCTTATTTATTTAATTAATTTAAATGAAAATAGAGAAACGCAAAGAAGCCGACCGGTCGGCAAAGAAAAGAACCGCAAAGAACGGTATCTATATAGGGTTTATGCTCTATATAACTCTATATAACTCTATATAACTCTATATAACTCTATATAACTCTATATATATAACTCTATATAACTCTATATATATAACTCTATATAACTCTATATATATAACTCTATATAACTCTATATATATAACTCTATATAACTCTATATATATAACTCTAATAACTCTATATATATA